TTAGTATGAGATGTTTTATCAGCGAAGCTGAAAAAGTGACTATCCTTTTTAGTTTGCATGTACCGAAGTGATTGCTAAATTATATTAGCACCTATTAATTGCAGCATTCATTAGCAATGATTAGATTTTCATCTTGCCAAGCACAGGAATTGATTGAAGCAGCTCGCAAGGATCTAAAAGATTTTTGAGGTGACTTTGACAAAGCCAAATCCAATGCAGTAGATTTGGCTACATCTTGGGGCGTAAAAGTCTTTTTCGCGAGAAATATGTAAAAAACGAAACATCATTTCGTCCGAGCAACACCAGTTGAATGCCAGAGCAGTACAAGCTCATTTTTTAATTTACATTTTTAATTAGCTATTAAACAGCAAATAAATGCATGTATTGACTTAGAATGCCCAGGATCCGCTTTCATTACTTCATTCCACTTGCCGTAATATCTAGTTTTCATGGTGTTAATATCTTGACGAAATCTTTCACCCTACCCCTCATTCATTGTACCACGTTCTGGGGAGCAGAAGACAATAGAGTCGTGTTCCAAATGACAAGTTTCTCACTCGGTTTACAACCTACAGATTTGAAGTTGCGAACATGCCCTCCTAATTTGCAGATTTCTTATTGCCAAGGGAGTTCTGTCAGCCTTTTAAATGAACGCCATGCAAATTTTTATTTCATTGATTGAGGATTGAAAATTTGGATTTCCCATTAGGTCAGAGTCTATCAAATACACTGCTTTTAATGTTGTTTCACATTTTTTTCTCGGAAATTTCAGTTTTAAATACGGAATTACATATTACAGTTTTGCTGCCAAACCCAATAAATTGAATTCACACAAATGTATAAATGAATTTTGTGCAAGTTTTATATTTTAAGTCTCAATATTGAATAAAATATAATAAGGCTACTTTGTTCTTAATTTTTAATTTCAGTTGTTATATAAGATTTTAGTGATTCCATTATGTCTAAATTACCAACTTTACTACAATAACGAAAATAGTATATTTGATTTTATATACATTACACTAGTATTAAAACCTTGTCATGAATTTCAATGTTCATTAAAAAAAAAATTGTTCCTGATAAAACCAAACAACATGAGCTATGTAACTACCCACAGGAGAAACTGAAGAATATAATTTTCTCAATAGCAAAATGTTCGCATATCAGTGTAATCTACAGTTATCCTTGAAATTTGCTCTGTATCATGTTTTGTCTTGTCAATTGCAGAATATCCATTTTAGAAAAATATTCCTCATTCGCCTTAGGACTGAGATTTTTAGAAATCTGATGTAAGGAAGCATGCTTTTATCCATGACTAAAATTATACAATTTTCATGTGTCATATATAATCAAATTTTGGCAGTTTTAAACTATTTTGCCATTTATCATTAATATTTTATATTATAGTCATATCTTTTTATGAATTTTCATCATATTTTATCTTTTTGATTCCATGTTCACATACTTACCTGCAGTCATTCAAAAAGATTTTTCACATCTCTTACTTGTTACCTCTAATTTCTATCAGTTGCATCTAATTGTTTATTCTTTCGTATAAATATATGACATGACATGAATTATTAAGGTAAGCTATGTAGAAAAAGACAGCTATTTATTTTTACTGAATATGCTGGATTTTAAAAGTATATTTTCAATATAATGGATATTTAAACAGGGACAAGTTTCTGAAGGTTCGCAAAATGTAACCAAAGGTTTTTTAAGTCATATTTGGTGACTTATTTGTAAAATTTTCAGGTCATAAATATCTGGGCCCTATTCATCCATTTCTGAACTAAAATCTTTTAGTTCATTTTTTTTATTTCTACACTTCAGTACTAGGTTGCCAGAGAATACGTGTAAATAACATAATATGGTTAAGTAATAAAACATAAAAATATTGTAATAAAACGGAACCTAGAAAAAAAACCTGAATTCCAAAAAAAAAAAAAAAACATATCGCCGGTCACATCCATCTACATTCTAATAAGTAAGATAATATCTTTTTTACTAAATTTGTACATTTACATAATTGAAGACCACATTAATAAGGAATTGTATACAGTTTAGTTAGGAGCAAATGTACAGTTGAGGGACTAATATTTACAGGCAAAGAGCAAGGTATGGAAATCTAACAGCCGTAAGTGGACATCAGACCACACATTACATGTTCAACTCACATTCGCATTGCTTGTTATTACGTTTTGCCAAAATTCCTTTTTACTACATATATTCATAATTCTTCTTAATATAGGATTGGGATGCCAGTGCTCAAGGTAACGTACACAGATTGCACGTCTCCCCTATACACAGTTCTAAACTGCTTTTTAACGTTAAATAAATATACTCTAGTTTCATTGCTTTTAAATCATCACACATGATTTATATAATAATTGAGCCTCTTTAACCAAGGTTTTAACAGGTATTCGATAAACAATGCCTATTAATCACTTGTTTATTGAATACTGAACATACTTTTCAAATTATCACAATTCAAGATTGAAGGTACAAAGATAGTACACAAACTGAAGACAAAGTTTTTAAAAAGGCTTTTTTTTTAATGTAAAAAATTAAAATGCAGAGAAAGCATTTAAAAATCGAAGAGACATTAATATTGTAAATTCATCAGGAAAATGTGCACCTAGATTCACTTTGAATTAATGCAGTTAACCAAAAAATATTAATAGTGTATGCATTGAATTGAATTAATTCCTTATTTTACATGGCAAGACTCAGGCCATTAGTATGAAAAGGAATTTTCGTAAAACATCTACAATTCAACACATCAGAAGGAAATATTCATTCAACAAACCAATTCAATCAACCATATTTTCTCCATAGAAAGCATACAAATGTATGCAACAGGAATTGTATGAAACTGCAGAACTAAATATTGTAATGAATAAATTTTATTTCATTGTAAATCATCTTTCTCTAGAATCTTTATTGCCCTGTTTACAGAAATATTAATCCATTACAAAAAATAGTTTACTATACAATCAGAACAGTTTACACCATATCCAAACAATATTTCAATATAAAACATGGAGAACATAATTAAAGAAAAAGCGTACATTTTCAGATGTTTTGACAAAAGTAGTAACGTAACCAAACACAGTAGGTTCTGAAATTAATGTTCCATTTAAGTACATTAAATGCTTACAAGGGTTAGATTAACATATGCTTTGAACAACTTTCACTTCCAAGATAACCACCCACAGTAGTAGCAAATAGTAATGATCTCTCTTATTTTCCACATTTTATAACTGAACCACAGAATGTTTTTCGGACTGTAAGTTTAGTAAAATGATGTTGGTACTTTCTATTCGCCTACAAAGCAAAAATTTGCTCTTTTCTCTTCCAGTAACAGCAATAAAAATGGAAAAATCTCCACAGAGGTTCTCAGTTGAAAGCAAAGATATTTTTAAAAAATCATCAAAGAAAGGACATTCAGATTAATACATTAAAATACAAATAAGTTATTTTAAGGATATTATCCTGTATTTGGATCATCCTACTGCTGGAAAACAACTTCGCTCTCATTTACACATTTTAAAAGAGCTAACATTTCTGCAAATTACTAATAATTTGTTTCTTCTCAATGAGCAGATAACTCGTTGCCAAAACAAATATTTTTACAATAAAGATCAAATTAAAAAATATATACAAATAAATTAGATCTTACTTGACCATTATTAAGTCAATTGTCATCTCACTAAATACTAAAAATGTAAAAAAATAATTAAGGTTTCATATTATAAGAACCTACATTATACATGTATATAATTTAATTTCAAAATGAAAAAAGTAAGAACTTTAAAACTTTTATCTGGTCAAATCTCATTTTTTTCTTAACATCCTTTCACATTATTCTGCAGACCTACAGCAATAAATCAGAAAAACACACAGCAATATTCTGTGAATATGTTTATAAGATTTTTACAAGACAATTTTGAATTTCAAGAAGTACACAATTCTGCAGATATCAGGAAATACAGTAAAATCACCTCAACATGTAATTTTTACTTTATTAAATTGGCTTTGAATGACACACTGATCCTCAATTGAAATTGAATCACAAACAGTTATTTACTTCAGTCACATCAAGTATTTTCTGCTTAGCAGCACTCCTACAAGTTTAAAATATCTACACAAATTTTAATACAATTCAAACATTGTTTTTCCTTTATTAAAGCTTAAAATAGAAACCCACAAATGCAAATATAATGGGATAGAAACAATAAACTTTACCAAAATAGCCTTTACACTGGAACTTGATTGTAATTAGCAATGTCAACCAAGCAACATGAATCTTTATTAAAGGATAAAAATAAATTAAATGTTTTTATCATCTTCACTTACATAAGGCATATTATTTGCATTTTTTACTTGAATTATGATGGGTTCTATTTTGTAATAAATGTATATTCTTTTTGATTTTTTTTCTGCTAGAAACATCACAATTTATTTTATCTAACATGTGAAGATTCCTTTACATATGAACTTTATTTTATCCCAATATTGATGTTCCTTCCAAAATATGCTGCAATGTGAGTCAATTATTTTGTCTGAGAATTCTCATCACTTCAAGTTAAAAACACTGATAATTGCCATAGATATTCTGTAACACTTCTGTATTTGGTTCAGATACTTCTCAAAATGTGAAACACAAGTCATCACAAAGACCATTATTGTGAACAACACTAATAAGAATAATCAAGCAACTTGTGTTGTTGATGCATATTTAGGATAAACTTTAATACATTCGGATATTTAATATTTATACTTAAAGCTGCATAAAATAGGATCTTACTTTATGAAAAAGATCAAATTTCTTTAAACAAATGATTTAATGCATTTCTTTATGACACCATTTAGCATTGAGCTGCAATAAACAGCAACATGATTTTTCCCCAAAATGCTTCCTGTTTTAGGCCCAAACTTTGTGATTAATTTGCTTTCACGCAAGACATTAAATGTATATTATATATACATATTTTTGTTCAATCTGCTGAATTAGTAGGTCCACCTCCTCCCTCACCAACCCCTTCACTCGGAGAAACTTTCGGTTCTAATTCTGAAGGATCACCACTGTTTGGTTCTCCAGATGGTTTCAGGCCCCTGATGGACAAGTCGTATACCACTTCTTCCACTTTTTTAATGTTGTACTTGAGACCATCAAATCGCTTTCGAAGCGAATCATTTTTGAAATTGAGCATGCGAAAGCCAGCTGACAGCTCGCCCAAGAATTTAGATATATGCAAAGGTCGAGCATAATCTCCGAACGTCACCGCATTGACGCAAAATCGAGCCAACTCGGAAGCAAGATCGAGTTGGCCGATGAGGTAATCCTCGAGATCCAAATGGAAACCGTCAGTTCTCCTGCACGCCAGTCCAAGCTCTGCGGCGACCTCTGCGTGCGAAATGAATTCTCCCGTATCTAGATACTGAATCAAAGCTACTAGAAATGAGAGTCGCTGAGTAACAAAACGCCAATGATCGTGAAAGCGGTAGTACTGATCTTCCGGGACAGCTCCTTTTAACTGCTCATACTGTTGTCTCACGTCCTCTAATTTCTTTCGTGAACGTTCACAAGCCGCTGGTATTTCCTTCGCTCCATTTGCTTGGTGAATGCACTGTAGAGTAATGAGAATCTCGCGAGCGGTGGCCTCAATTTCCCTTGTGTGGGTTCTAATAACCTCCCGGACAGAGTGTTCATTGTCCAAGTATCCCTGAAATGCCGAAAATATTTCCGGTATGTTCGACATTTCCTTTTCAGATAATTCTTCCACTTGTTTGTGCAGACAAAAACCACTTCGCGAACAAAATCCACACAAACCTTCTCACTTAAATCTCTCCACGTGACTTTTCTTTATAAGCCAAAATCGAGTCGTATCGTAAAATGTCAACGAAAACCAACTAAATTTGACGTCGCGTGCTCGTCATTTGTCGTTTTAATGCAGGTGTACCACGGTTCAAATGTTGAAAAATGTATCGCAAGGTGTTAAAGACATGTGTTTACAGCGACGCCACGTGTTGGCATAATTGTTAGATGTCACTAATGTTTGTTAAATTCGATTTTACAATAACATTATTTCTGCCATTGTCTCCATTTAAAATGCATTTCAAGTTTACTGTATGTCGTACTGTAAAACTTATGATTAAGTCAGTTCGTATGGTAATTTTAATAGAGACGTGTTTATCAATTGACCATTCGCAACTATAATTTTGTAGAGGAAAATAGAAAAAGCAATAATTATCCCAACCAGTCGATTTTTTAAATTTCAAATTCGCCAACGATAACGTAGGTTACATCCAGATGTTTCGCAGTTTCGATATGGTGTAATCATCAAAGGGTTTTGTTGTTGTTTTTTTCTCCCCTTTTCATCGTTTCTGCCTTTTTTTCCCTTTAAGATCTATGTCGACTAAACTATAGAATAACCAAATGAAAATATAACCATGTGAATGTCACGACATGAATGAAAATTATCAGAAATGATTTGTGCAAATGTGCTTCAAAATAATGAAAATTAAAAAATTGATATAACAGCCAAACACATTTTACTTTTTAATTAGAACACTTGGTTTTTATTGATAAATGATATTGAAGATCTGCTATAAATTAAACATTATTACTACTTCTCTTTGAATAGCATGAAATATGAAAGTTATAGTATGGCACTGCACACAGATTTGAAAAGCTCTAGTTTTCCTAGAAGGGCAAGTTATAAATTGAATATATCTTATAATTGATACAATTTGGGTTTGGAGACAAATTAACTGGCAGAAGGTCTATTGTTCCACTTTTAAGTAGAAGATAGTAGAAATGCCATACAATGAGAACGAGAAGAAATCGATTAATATCTAGAAAATCAGATTATTATAATGGCTTTTCTGTTACCAATTAGATGAATTGGTGAATTCTACAGTCTCAGAGTATGAAAAACTTACATAATCTCTCCACTACTTGTTGCCCTTGATAATATTTTTGGTGGGACTTATTTTAATTTTTATGAGACAAGAAACAGATTACTAGAGCCTCTGTACTATGGTAAAATAGGTTTTTCCTGTAATATTTAGAAAATAATTTATTTTTCTTATTCATGTATTGGAAGTGAAATATTCTTCCTTGTCCACTGGTTTAGGTTGATCTCATCTATTAAGGTTATTTTAATAAGTAATATTTTATTGAAGAATGAAATACAGTGACAGTATATTATTTTTGAAGCCCAGGTTGACAAAAATAAAAATGCCTAGCTTTCTTCAAGTCACCTACACTACACTTCATAATAACTACTCTCTATATACTCTTTGCACCAACATACCTTTGAAACCATATTGTGGCATTCTCTGGAAAATCGCTTTGTGGAATGAACGTGTTATTATTCCTAAATACAAGAAAAGAGATACTTTTGATTGTAGAAATTACAAGCCAATATCCTTGTTAAACTTATAAAATATTTGCAATAGTATTACAGGGGCGGATCCAGAGACAAATTTTGGGAGGGAAAATTAAAAATGTTTTGGTTCAATGAGTCATTACAGATTTTGTTAAATGTCGCAGGCTACACTCAGCTCATGATGTGAAACATTTTTATTCGGTTTAATGATTATCCAAAATAATTTTTGCTTGAAAGTTTCATGACAAGTTACAATTTATAGTCACAGAAAAATTTAGGAGGGAAATTCGCCTCATTTCCTTCCTCGTGGATCAGCACTCGAGTATTAAATAACATAATGGCAGGATTCATAGAAAGTAAATTGAGTGATAGTGAATCCAGCTTCCCCCAATAGTAGATAAAATGTTTTTAATCAGATAGTTAAGTATATGAGAAAAATCATGAATACAGAATGACGCTGAATATATTGTTGCTGATTTTGAACAAGCAATTGGCACAATACTGAAAAATTAAAAAAGATCGAGAAAATTAAAATTACCAAAAATTAACAAATCTAAAAATTTTGTCGAGTACTAATGCCCAAGTACTAACCGGTAACTAATCGAGTGACGAATTTCAAGTTGAATTTGAGGTAAAACAGAGATCCACTATCTGCTACTATTCTATAATACAATACAGGTATAGTTTCAGGCCAAATTGATGTGAAAGGCAATACAACCACAAGGCTGAAACTATGTCTGGCATACATAGATGATTTACTTGTAACAGCCCTGAGAAGAAAAGTATTAGAAGAAATATTCAAGAACCCCAAACAAATAGCAGTGCTCGTGGACTTCAAATTAATAGAGAACCAAATACATGCAAAACTGTTTCTACTCAATTAGAAACTATACCGAGCATCAAAAAGAAAAGTAATATTAATTTTAACAATGATATTTAATGCATTATTTACCATTTAGACTATAATTCTGAACAACCTGTACAGGTATTGTAACTTAGCTTCTGGGTCAATGACCCCTATCTCGATCAGGTTTTTTGTCCATTTCCCTGATCCTTTGAGTAAATACTTGCTTCTTGACATAAATGTAACTTCATAACCTGAGCAACATCTTCTAGAATTCATTGGGAAATATAGTTATTCAAATTATCGTTATCCATGTTGATTCAGCAGGAAGTATTATTCCTTCATGAAGGACATGATGAGGGATAAGAGCCCAAATCTATAGCTGATTTATCCTTGAAAATATATTGTATTACAGAACTAATATTTTGTTAACATTCCTTGCGAAAAATGCTAATTTCTTTCCGGATTCAAAATTCAGTATATGGTGAAGGGAAAGGATCTCAGGATGAACAAAACTTGCACAGAATTCACTTCTCAAAGTAGCATGTCAAACCAGTTTTTAACATAAATAGATTAATAAAAAATTAATAAATACATTTATGAAAGTGCGTAAAGATAAAATGGAAGATTAACCAGGATGCCAGATTCTGCACTTACCTTGGTTCTAGGATAAATGTATCATGATTGTTAATTTCATTGATAATTGATTTTTGAAAGAAAAACAATGAGAAGAATATATGGGTCTGTATAGACACCTAAAGATACCTAGAGAATCAGGTGTAACTTTGAAATTAACAATTGAAGTAAGAATAAAACAATTGCAAATCACATTTAAGCACCAAGACTAAATGGACTTAAACATTTTTGACTAATGGTTGATAGTAAAGCAGTAAAGTAAATTCTTATCTGATGCTCATTCTTAATCTGAAAGAAAGGAAGCCCAAAACTTAGATGGAAGGATGATGTGTTGAAGGACACCAGAAGATTGGAAACTAGGAATTGGACAGCCTAAGTATAAGATCAAAACAAACGGAGAGCTGCTACGGACAGGGTCAAAAGAGTCAATGTTAACAAGTGTTGTGGTGCCTGACTGAGAAATTTTTAAGTACCTCAAGAGTGTGGCAACAATTTACGGCCAGAACGATAATCCTTCTCTCATCTGTAGTTTCTATCATTTCATGGAGTATTAATTGTTATGTGTTTTCACAAACAAGTGAAGAACTCTACTCTGCTTGTGACTGACTTCATATTAAATTATTTACTGTAAATGTAACTTCACTCTGCCCATCTTTTAGAGCTCCCATTGGTTAGACACAATAGCAGTGGAGGGTTAATTATTTGATAGCAGTGTATTCAAAACCATAATTTCATGTCACCTGCAGTTCTTTCACGGGGAGGTGAATATCTCTTATTTTCTTATGTTAAAATGCTGCTATTACCTTCACTCGTAATAGTGTGTAGTAAGAGAAAATAGGAAATCTGAAGCTCAGGAAGACATGAGCACCTGCATACATCATATCTGAGTTGTCATACAAAATTTAAATTGAATATGTGAATCAATAAATATTGGAATTTTAAGATTTTTAATAATTATAAGTATTAATGTAAACATTTAAAAGACATGTGTGTGAAGTGCTCTTCATAAAGTCTTGGGGGGGGACATGAAGATAAACTATCCTATCCTATTATCTCCTTTTAAAATCAGTTTGTTGATCACAAGGATAAAATATATTATAGGATATATTATATTATAATACCTACTCATATGTACTTTAATACTTGTTACGAAGTCTGTATGAGGCTATCAGTGCAAAAGTGGTTTAACTTCCTTCCCCCCCCCCTCATGTTTTATAATCACATAACCAACTATTAATATAAATATATTAATCTGTAATGATTTCACTGTTTCCTTTCTTAATTACTTTCAATTACCAAAGAGAAATGATTTTGCATTAAGTGTATTTCTGTTAAAGCCAGTGCAATAGTAATTCCACACAGTAGGCTACCTGATGCCTAAAAGGTGCACGACAGATTACTTCACTTTCCGACATATCTACAGTGTCTCTTTGGAGATGGGAAATTTTTTCTTCTCACCTTCATCCTGAACAACAGAATATATTTTTATTTATTTAATTTGCTTACAGAATAATTCGATTTACAGACAGACATTTACTTTATCAGTGAATTGCGTTCATGCTGGAGAATCAGCATATACATACTCCATTTCTTGAAACGTAAAAGTGAAAGAAGGAAGAAAAAAAAAGAAAAACACCCTCCCCCTTTTTTTTAATGAAAAACAGGAGACCTAGATGGAGGCATAGATGAGTGAACTAAATATCATCCGTTATGCAGCAAAAATGGCAAGATTGCACTTAGAAGGATAGAAATACTTTTCTTTCCTATTTGGAATACTTGAGTTAAAGATTCAAAACTTGGAAATCATAAGAACTTACATGTTGATTAATTGTGACTCTGGCGAGAACAAATCAATGCTTTTACTAAGAGGGGAAAGAAATGAAAAAATCCATGGCAGTTATATTCTCATAACACAGAACTCAAAGTTATGCCACTTTTAAACTGACACACTCAACTACAACTTTGTAAGCAATTTCAAACAGTTATTTAAAAAATTTGATCTTCGATTGCAATCTCAATAAATAAAAAGGCAGTAGAGGATAATGACAATTATGATAATAATGGACAACAATGGTAAGTGGTAATGTAAAAAACATGACATAATCTACTAATTGCAGTTTGATTTTCACACTAATTATTAAAACAAATAATGGACATATTATTTTTATTCATTTACAAAAGACAGTTAATACACTAATGGCACTCGCTACATGCAATGAATAAATCCTTTAAACTAGTTTTAAAGATATTCAAAATATGGTATCCTCTAAGCCTTCAACATCTTTTTTGGTATTTACATTTTCTGAGATTTCAATGGAATTAATTCTCAGCATAGTATATTCTATACGCTGAAAATTAATTCTCATATACTGTTTTCGCCTTTTCTTACGAAATCTTGTCTTAGTATGAGACATGCTCTTCTCTACAACAGTAGCTTCTACACTTGCAAGTCCATGAGGTAGTAATGGTCGTCCAATCAATGTGAAGTCTGATCCTCCAACAAGAAGTATTTTCTTTAAATTTAATTTATCACCTATATTTGGTGGCCAATATCCTTCCACCACTACAATATCTTCAGTTGTCACTTTAAACTGTTTTCCACAAAGATGGATAACTGCAAACAATCGTCCATGACTTTTGCTTTCTATTTGTTGATTTACTTTTAAAAAAACATCTGAAGTAATTATTTTGTCTGCTTCAGAGGGTGGCTCCGGCTGCGAGTCGTCTGTAACACTTTTGGAGTTCAGCAGTGTTTTTTGGCTTAAGGAAATGGCATGTGAACTCAATCTAATTGGTACACAAAACGTATTACAACTCTGAGTCACAGGACGTAAGAGAAGGGTTGTCCTGTGCGAAAAGAATGCACCGAGGTGTCGAATAAGGTGACCACCTAAAGCCATTTCCAAAGCAAAAATTAAGGGCAATCCAGAAAAAAAAACACAAATTAAAACTTCGAGAGCCTTTTCTCTACATTTGGGAAACGGGCAACACCAATGTGGCTCATGCACATATTATTTTACACAGAAATCAATGCCGGTAAAGGTGATTTAGATGCACAGTAATTCAAACTGATATCGACACGTGAAAAATATCAATTCGGTACAGTTGTTGCCAACGTCACCATATGGCCAGTTCAACAATAATTTGTAATTAGTCCGCACAATAAATAATTCTTCGTATGTAACTCCAAGTTAGTTCCTTCAGTCAAGTCCCAACTTCGCCAGCAACCCACATAAATAAATGTGCAGTGTTTGACCAGAGAATTCAGAAAGAGCATAGAGTAAAATACTACTGATAGTATTATACAAAGTCCATGATACCATGTTTTGGTTGTTGCGCAGTTCATTAGAGCTTCATAAACAGTTTACGTCAATATATAGCGGGAATTATAAATGTAACTAGATATCAAATCACCTTATTACAAATCATTGAAATACACGTGAAGCATTTTTTAAATAGTGCATTATAAGCATTTCTTAATTTTTCAAAACATCAATTTTTCCAATTTACGTATTTCATTTGGTCGCCTTCAAGTGACACCCCCAAACCATGAATTCTCGGCTATCCGGGAGACGCTGCGTCGTTGGCTGGGGTGCCGACGTTTCGCAGGCTTCCTCAGAGCAGTGACGAATTCATCTCTCGTCACTGCCCTGAGGAAGCCTGCGAAATGTCAGGCGAAACGTCGGCACCCCAGCCAACGACGCGGCGTCTCCCGGATAGCCGAGAATTCATGGATTCGAGCCGCGGAAGCTTACGTACACCCCCAAACCATAGTATTGACATACATAATAACCAGCTTTAAAGTGCAAACAGACAAAAATCTCTGCAAGAATGCGCGAGACATTAAGTGACATAACTATTACTTGTTATATAAAATATTTATTAATTTAATATTATTAATTTATTATTATTATTATTATTATTATTATTATTATTATTATTATTATTATTATTATTATTAATTGTACATCTGTATGCTACTTTCTATAATAAATAAAATAATAACCTGCTCAAAGGTTATGGGGATGGATAAATAGAATTCACAACGGCCAACGAAAATCTCCTATATTATAACAATGGGAATAGCCAATTTAATTATTAGGATATTAGTATTAATAACATAATTTATATTATCTACGACAAAATTTCATAATTTGAATCAGCATGAGAAGGAAGGGAAAAAGTCAAAAATGTTGTTTTTTTGTTGTTGTTTTTTTCCGTTGGAAAATTGTTCTTCAAGAGGAGATAAATTGTACTGTGAAGAAAGTAATCACGTCATAACAGTGTTTAGACTATCATTAGTATATTCACATAAAAATTGGATCGGATAATATATCACGTGTGAATAGTAGCATAACGAAATGAGTGTGGGCCCACCTGCAGAACCTTTATCCGGGTCCCCTTCATACAAGTACATAGCAAGTAGTGTTAATTCATTAAATAATAAAAATATCCCCTAACAACAGTCCCTCTTTTACCTGGGTCCGCCCGCATTGCGAGCCTTGCGGGCCTGAACGTTACGTTAAGTCACCACATTTAAATTAGAGAATATTATCACTGTGATACTGGTTATACTGTGATATTATACATATTCTGTGATGATCAAAGAGTATTACGGGTTTCAGTAGGGCGTATTTTGCAAGGTTATTGCCTGGTTATTGCGTGTTATGCCAGCTGATTGCCAGTGACAAGCAATTTACAGATGGAAACCATTGAAATTTTACCTGAAAATATTAAAATAGAAGAGGTAAGCAATTTCTGTACATTTCGTTCTTAGTGAAAACCTGTTGCCGGCACCTAAGTAAAGGCATTATACGTAAATGACAAGAGTTGTTTTGAAATTATTTTTTTTTCGGGGGGGGGGGGGTAGATCGGATCAGAAAGCGTCATTATTATCCTAAATGAAAATTGAAGACTATGTAAGGTAAAAGCACCAAAAGCTGACAGGTTAAGGGAAAAATTACATTCAATTGGCAACATTTTTAAAACAACCTTTCTTTTCAGATATTGTTGGATTCTTTACATGTTTAAATATCTTCGCCTCTAATAAAGAATTTAATTTTTCGGGACATTTTCTTCTTTAGAAAAGAGCAACCTAAAGGTGTCATGAATGTAAAACACAAATTCATTTTAGTACGTGGTTATTTTAATAATTGATTAAATGATATGTTAAACAGAACACACAAGGGATTGGTTAAGGTATTTTTGTTGGAAATCAGTAAAGTTGTTGGATTTTACAAATTAATTACTTTTCTTTTCATCAAGTGCTTTACTAAATACTTATCCAACCGAACTTCTTTGTTGCTGCATTATAACTTCTCCTTCTATTTACAGCATCATTAGTTTTCATCATTGAGTTCTTAGCATAATTGAAAATTTTCTTTGGTTGCCATATTATGTAAATTTCCCGAAAGGTAACATTCATTAAAATATTTCTTGGAACCTAAGGTTGATACACTATGTCAACATTAGGTTCTGGATCAATTAGTCTATTAAACTAAAGACCCTCTACTTATGATATTGTGTGCATGATAACACAATATAAAGAGTACAGAATTATAATCAGAACCTCAAGTTGACCCCATTGTCATCCTTAGGTGCTATCAAATTTTTGAAAACCTCAACCTAACAACCCCCTAACATTGATGATCTAGAGGCGGGGTGTCCAAATTGCAGGGCCTCAAGGACCCTAACTAAAACCTTCAATATGGTTTCCAATGCTCCAACCAATGTTTATTAGTGAACGTGAGGGCCATGCTTCTCTGAGGGTGTACTGTGTACACTACTTTAACCTTATCTTTTAAAAACATTCTTCATTACAAGGTTTTTAGTTGATTTGGTTGAATTTTTTACTATATTCCACATTGCTTTTGTTTTATTATTTAAGTTCAAAATATTCTGATATGGTTCATGATCTTAGCCTGCCTTATGACTTTTCTTAACAATGATTTGTACTTTTTAAAGTAGAGGAGGAAAATTTAGATATGTTATGATGTTTAGAAATGAAAGAAAGACTTCGTTTATTTTTACATGATGTCCTAATCCTGTATGTTATCCAAGAATTGCTTTTCCATGAAATATTTAATTTTCTTTTTTGAAGAGGAAAGCAAGTGTTAAGTTGAAATGAAAGTATTGGAAAAAAATAACTGTATTTATCGTTTGTGTCAACGGTATTGTAAACCGCGTCCCATGACTTGCAGCAAGTAATTGATGAATAATCTAATTTTCTTTTAGTGAACAATCTACTCTATGTGTATTACTTAATGTGTCTAGTGTTCTTATAATGATATTGCATTTCTTATAATGGTAAGAATTTATGCCACATGATCACTGTATCCTAAATATTTTGTTTCTATGTCATATTGAGTAGTGATTTTGTTAATTATTATTTGATCAATAGCCTTTGAATTTAGTGTGATCTATGTACTCACGGTAAATCACTTGGTTGGAATTAATTAGGCTTGTCATTTCAAGCTATGGCCTGGACTATTACTGTCACCTCTTTGCGAACCGCCCTAATTACTAAAATGCTCAATTCATAAAAAATTATCCTTGCGTGTCAGTGCTCTCCACATTTGGTGCCATTATCTCTGATCATTGGATAAAGCATGGACTGATATCTTCTTTGTTTACAGGTCGATGTACCAGAAGGCCATGAACAAGAATGTACATTCAGTAATACCATTGTGAGTAATTGTTCTACAACAAGCAGATGTCAGTATCATAAAACTTATTCCATTTTTCCTTCAAGTTAATTTTTAAAGGAAGTGGCTTGTCCCAGCACGCACATGGGATGTGAAAGTTTTGGAAATAGTTGGAGAGGATCTGAGTATGGGGGAATTAGGAGGTGGGTTGAGGGTGGAGGTAAAAGGATTCAAAATAGGGATGGAAAATTTTTTTTAAAAAAAGTAAGAGGTTTAACAAGACACTGTGTAGGATTAGAGATCGCAATGTGTCATGCTTGTTCTCTATTGTGTGGTATGACTTTTTCAATAATTAGAGACTAGAGTATAGTAAAAATTCTGTTTTTAGTCGTACAAATTAGCTAGATTTTTGAAACTAATTCAAAAATTGATATTTTTGAGTTTCCGTTAGTCATTTTGTATTTTGCCTTTTTTGGCATAGTGAGATAAATTCCAATTTTTAGAAACAAATACTGTTTTGTTTAAATTCCTGTTTTGCAGTACATTTAACAAAAAATTAGTTTATTAGTTTGTCGGAATTTTACAAATGATTGCTAATTTGAATAGAAATTGCAGTATTACATTACATAAATGTTACTGCATAATACATGAAAGAATGCGCTGTTGTAGCACTACTAGTCAAATAAAAAACATTCAAGAATCATTATTATAGTATTTCAAATCTTCATATCACGATATGATTTTCCATTGTTGTTGATTTTGAATATCTGATTCACATAATGTTTATTTTTTCCTTCTTTTACTTTTAGAAAACTCTTTTCACTAAAGTAGATTTTTTTATTCAACAATTCCTCTAAATTAATTTGTACATTCGTATAATATTTCTTTCCTCAAAACTTAAAATTCCTTCCTTAATTAAAAACCTAAATCTCTTTTAACCCTGCAGTGATAACATTGGGTCTACCTTGCTCAGTGTAAAAATTATTCAACCTATCTTGAAAAGGAAGCTCAGCACTTAACTGAATTTTCATCTACCTTTTCAAATAACGATTTTCTTTAGAATTATAATGAGTACTACATTTCATTATTGGTAATAGTTGAGTGTTTTTGTTATAAGGTATTTATTTATGAGGTTATAAGAAATTTGTGTTATAAGCTAACTGTTGCACCTGACTGACACTTCTTTTTACAATGATTTGACAATTTTTTATCACTTGATTTCCAAACAATGTATGTTAGTGATAGCTTTATAGTTTGTGTGTGCGTTACATACATATGATTGAAATGAATGAAGAATATGAAACCAGAACAGAGCTAATGTGAGAGGAAGTGCTAAATGCATCGAGTTAACATGCAGATGCATAATGAGATTTCCGTTTATGCAGTGAGCGTGATACTGATAGCGGGGCAGTGAACATTGTGAACAGCAAATATTTGTACCAATTACAGCTCAAATAACTTAGGAAAAGGCAATACAACTAAATAGAGAAAAGCAGTAGTCAGTATAAATATTCACATACATTGTAGTAATAATATTACATCACTTTATCAGTGGTGCCGCAGTGTGCCATAAAAGCTCAAATAAAAATAAAGTGAAATAATTTTGTCTGAAAATCACTTGTAATTTGTTTTATTTCTTGTCGAGAATAAATATATTTTGCTAAAAAATAATAAAACTTCATTTCTATAAACAATTCAAAAGAAATGTTTGAATGGGTCTCTCTGACCCCACGTTACCTCTGATGAAACTTTCTTACACGTTACCACTGTAGGGTTAAGATAATTCTTTTGCAGACCTTCAGTTTGGAATGCCACATCATACTTAGAGGTTTGATCAAAAGTTGAGTAGCCAAAAAGAATTTCTTCGTCTAACATGATGAGCTTTGGATGTAAACAGTCATCTGTAGGATTTAAAATTATTTTGTCACCATTTACAGCGAAATATGCATGTAAAATTCTGGAATGAACCCATGGACAGTGTGGAGGTTTTTAAAATAGCCTGAAATATTGCATAGTTGTTTCTGTAGGAAATTTTGAGATATACAATTTGAGGGAGAGGGGTGTATTGAGGATATCTGTATGAAAGGTTTTCTTGAGAAGCAATTTACAGCCCATTAATACTTTCAGCACAATTCTGACAAAAATTTCATTGACTATTGGTAAAATTCTCCACATATTTAAAGGTTTTTTTCTTTTGAATAGATATTTTAAAAATGTGTTTTTTATTAAACAAAATTAATTTATAAGACCATTGATGAAATTGTGTGTTAGAATAAAAATGGTAATTAGGAAATAGTAATAAGTGAGTATTGCTTTGTCAACTACAGTAGTTAATTTGGTTTTACTCATATAAAGCAGTTTCATTAATTAATGTACTTAGATTTGTGTTGTCTGAAATTAGTTAGTGACTGAACACCTTTTGTTTATTGTAGGGGGAGCTAGTGCCTCCAGAAGCAGTGTATATAAAAACTGAGGAGACTACAACAGAACTAGTGGTGAGTTGATAAATTACAAAGGTTCACGAGGTTTTACCTTGATTGAAATAGAAGCTGGCATTTTACTTTTGAAAGTAATATATATTGAAGAGATAAATTAATGTTATACTCCGATTTATGCAACTCTGCCCCTGGCATGTATCAGCTATTAATGGTTTCATCCAATCAGGAACTTCACTATGTTGATGTTTAAGCTCCTGGTTGGACGAAACTGTCAACAGCTGATACCTGCCAGGGGCAGAGTTGCAAAAATCACAGTATAAGTCTTCTTCCACCCATCATTAATCACTCAAAGAGACAGAACCTAACTCTTTTTTTCTAAATGTTGGTTCTTTGTAGACTAAAAATTTTCCCTTTAAAATCTGGACACTGATCATGTACTTGAAATGTGTTGTGTTTTAAAGAATTAATTAAAATTTAATTATTTTCAATTAATAATTAATTTTGAAATGAGTTTTTCAACATTACAATGTAGTATAAAATATCTGTTGTAAAAAATTGAATTATTATGCAAACTACTGTCATTGTTTACCGTATTGGTGGTATTAAACATGATTGATTCCTTTTGGAGCTTGGTGTAAATATATAGGCATGATTCTTTCGGTACGTTGCATGGTAGCTACCAGACATATCCTTTAAAAAAATTTAAAAATAACATTCCATAGCATAAATACAAAACTTTGTGACAGACAGGGAAATAATAATCATACCAATCAATACATCCTATATAAAAAGTGGCCTATCTTTTAACAGTGTAGGACAATGCTTCTCATGCATAATACAAGTGTAAGAGTGTATTTAATTTATCAAATAATAATGAATCTCCAAACTGACTAGAAATATGAAAATTGGGTTTGTGCTATTAAGTAAACCATAATATATTAGTTCAGTATCCTCATATTTTATAAAGGGGTTATAGTATATTTTATAAATTCTAAATCCCAGCTTTTTGTATAAAATATGGAACCCTTAAGAGTTTTTGTTTAAGAAGTGAAACTATTGTTTTAAGTTCTGCCAGTATCAAAGAAAAAGGAATATATTTATAATGTACTTTGAAGTTTTGTGATAATTTTAATTACCTTTTGTAAAAAAAGATTATTTTGTTTTCTTGGAGTGGCTGCAGTGAATGGTTTTAAAAAATACTTGCTTTCTTGCCCTTAGGTAAATCAAGAACATGATGATGGTAATGATGATGATGTGGTGGGGGACCAAGTTAAAAATTTCAAAGTGAGTTCTTTGTTCTCTTTGCAATAAGCTGAATTCTCTGAAGATTCTCTGAAGCCAATCATCCAGGAGATAGTGGTTTAAACATCTAGTTGTTTGTAATTTTTGTGGAGTTTAATACAGATTATAATGTTTTTATACAGAGTATAATATATGTAGCTTGAAAGACATTTATTTCAAATAATTTAAATTAAAGCTTTTATATATATCAGAGAAAATTTTAAAACATCTTTGTAGATTGTTTGCAAGGTATTTTGTTTTTGACCTTTTTTAAAAAATAATTTACTTTTAGTAAAAAACTCGATAAACTGGATGCAATTTTTGAAGGGGTTGAGACAATTCATACCTTCTTTGTTATTTTTAATTTGTTTGTGTTATTTGATTTGCAGCTATTATGAATGACTATTCACATATTTCAGGAAGGTAATGAGCCTTGCTTCGTAACAAGTGAAGTTAAAGTGGAAGATGATGATGAGGTAAGTTAGTCATCAATCTTCTTTATTGATCTTCGAATCTTTTGAGAATTTAATTGATTCTGCGATGGAATGGAATTAGAAGAAAAGAAACAATAATAACTATAATAACAATTACAATAATAACAATAATATCAAACCAATAACAATAGTTAGTAGTGGAGACCTGTCTAAATTGGATGGTAACTGAGAAGAAATCCACAGAAGTGATTATTTTCTAACCCCAAGAATTTTACATATTTTCCTTGACTTTAAAGTCCTATTGCTATTGTTCGAAACATAATTACCCAGTATTTAAGCGTAAATGAACATACTTTTGGTTTGAAGTAAACCTAGCTTTGTGCTCTGTACATTTGAACTATTCTTGAAACGTTGTTTTCAGTAAAATATTCTTGGGGCAAATGAACCGGTAAGTTTATTTTCGTACAACATGATTGTTCAGTCATATTGTAGGTAAAAATTGGCTGGTATTTAAAAAAGTAGACACATCGTCGTGAACAAGATATCTAACTTTGTTTTCATAATTTTTGAAAAATTAAATGTATTATTTTTAAGTCATTTTGTCATTTCTTATTGGAGTAGGCAGTCCCAAGGCAAAAAGATTTGCCAATCAGTCAATAGATAAGAGTAAATGAATTGTGTTTTACTTTGTCAGAGGTGAACATGAAGGTGGTATGGTAAAATCTCTTTAAGCCGGTATCGACAAAAAAAGTTTCAGTTAAGGGAGGTTGCCATTTTATGCATGGTTGTCCATTTAACAACACATGTGATATTGATATTTCCGTTCTGAAACTAGTAAATTGATGTAAGTAAAGATGTAATTGAAGTAATAACTACATGATTTTATCATTATCATTAAAGTGGATTTACATAAAACGTATTTATGAAAGAAATTACCGATAAATAAATTTGAAACATTCTTCATTGACAGCTTCTAAGCTCCTCTTGCTTGCGTAAATTTCATCTTTTCATCAAATGTTAGGTTTGTGATTTTCGCATTGTTAAACTAATTGTGAAACTCATCAAAATACACACCACTTCACTACCTAAAGGCTGAAATCAGACTGTTCGTTGAGTCTTTCAACGCAGAATGTGTCACAGCCCAGTGTACTATGATTTTCTGATACCTTCGCATGGTTTTGAGCAAAGCGTGTCTGGCCAAGGGGTTACAATTCTGAGCGTGGGGCAGAGAGAGGCACGAATAGAAGACATGCCCGTACACCTTCCCATGCTCGGAGAGGAGGGGGAGGGAATTCCCCTATGGCTTATGCCCTGAGAGACAAGATACCGAGGTTGCATTCTATGCTGTCAGCTGAAGCCTCTCTCCTTCACAATGAGGTCACCAGTACTAAATCGCTTGGGGTAGAGGAATGAAAAGAGACTTGCAGTTACACTCATTACATTAGCCATTATAAAGATATTTTTCCCTAATGGGGAGAAAATGAATTGAAAAACCTTTCCGTTTTTGCGTTATGCAGATTCCATTTTATGCTGTGTAAAAATACCATATAACTTCACAGGCTAGAGAAATTACTGGTAAAGGCAGATTTCTGGCTTGAAGAGATTCCAGTTCAGACAGATTTAGAGACTGTATTATTATTCCAGCTTTATCTCCAAGATTAGCTGTATTAGTTAAGTTAATCGTTTGCTTCAGTTCCGTGTTTTTTTGTTGTCGTTTTTTTTCCTATGAGTTCTTGACAATTACCAAAACCCAGAATGGATATTATTCAATGGAATTTTATAAAAGGATTTATACTTCAGTTCCATCAAACTAGACTGTGCCTCCTGTACTCTAATTCTGATGACTTAGGACCGTACTTGCCTGAGTTAGGTATATCTCTACAGAGACTGAGTATTGAATCGATTGAACTGTGAATTGTCAAACCTGGCAAAAGGTTTTTCTTTTTCTTTTTTTTTTTCCCTCAACATCTTCCTACATCTACAATTATGAAGATGGGGTAATATTTATCCTAAATTAAATCTGTTCTTCAAAGGTAGATTATTAATTAATTGTGAACAATTTTTTGAAAGTGATGTGAAAGTAGTTTTGCTTTAAATTAGGCAATTAAAAAAAATTCTAAAAAATGTATTATATAAATATTTATATTATTTATAAAATTTATATTTTGAAAACTAGAGGATATGAAAGCATGTTTGTGTTTTGATAAATCACAATATTTTTAATGTAAATATCACTTGAAAGAAAATTAAATCATGGTGTTTATTGAGAAGTTCTCTATATAAAGTATTTTAGTTTTTTGTAAAGTTAGTAATTTTGGGAAACAAGATGATTAAGAAGTGTGAGGAAGAAGTCACATTGTTGACATAGTTGCCAAAGTTTTGGTCGTCATTCTACAACCTTCAAGGCAAAATGTGTTGGCAAGTATCTTATGAAAGTCATTCAAGTGTATACATTAAGTTTTGCTATGCTTGTCATTAGCAATGTATTATGCTGTAAAAAGGTAATACTATTTTCCTTAGTGATTGTCTCCTGTTCGTCCTGGAGCTAGTAGTAAATGGATGTAGGGTTGTGTAATTCAAATATTTCGATGAAGAGAGTAATGCTGAAGATGGCTGAAATAATAGAAGTACATCATTTGCAATGTACAAGAAAGTCTGTAGTAGTTGTATTTGTGATGTTTGTCGTAGTTGCTCTGCTTCAGAATCCAATCAAAGAGTGAGGCCGTTTGAGTTTGAGCTCTTCATTTGTCTTTTGCAGGAGGAACTCAAGCCACCAGTTGCTGTGTTTGTGGATGCCAATGAGGAATCCAACGATGGGGTTGAGCAGGATCAGGTGGTAAGAATTGCCAGTATGCGATTTTTTGGTTATGAGTGGAAATTGATTTTCGCTTGCTCTAAGTCAACCCTTTCCACTAAGCATTACCAACATAACAAGAAGTGAAAGGGTGACAAAGGTCATGAGATGGAAATGCATAAAGTAAACGGAAGAAGATGGACTTATAGTTATTCATTTCAGAAGTAGAACCCAACCCCACAATGTTTGTGTGGACCCCAGTTACAAGTTCTACAAAATGAAGGAAGTTATTTATTTCCCTGTGAACGTTATTTTTGAGCGATCGCTACGAACTGTCTCCCTCCATGACTTCTCATGTTGGTTTTCTGGCGTGAAAATATTCTGAAGGAATACTTTGCAGTTCGAGCAGTGAGTCTCGTCATACAGAAAGACACTGCATTTCTGACAGAAGTAGTTTGTGTCATTATCCAATAACAGCTGTCTGTTCCATTAAGACAATTGCCGATAGCCACAGTAAATACAACCTTGCATCCTCAAAATTAAAATACTCACAAACCAAAAAGTATAACCAGAAAAAAGGTGAAAGAATTGCACACTAAGGTGATGAATTCCACTGTGAGTAGCCACAAGTGAATTCAATGGTTGGTATCCTATATATTTTGCAAGTAATGAGAGTAATTTATGAACTAGTGAATGCTGCTCTCAATTCACAATCAGCAGATTGCTAGAATACCCTTATTTTCTAACTTTTTATTTCCTAACATAGCTCTTTCTTTGGAAGTCTTACCTTAATATGAGCAAGCATTGTCAGAGAGGTAGCCATGATTTGTAGTACAGAGAGTGAATATTTTATACAAGAACATGTATGGCGATCATATACCTGAAATATACCTTTTATTTTACAAAATCTGATAATCAAAATCTGAAATCATCAAAAATTAGAACAGATTATTTACTTTGCCTAACGTCTGAAGTAACTTGAGGTCGAATTCTTGTGGTCTTGGATTGGGGGATGGAGGTTAGCTTAATCTGATTTAGCGAGTTTTTATTATTATTATTATTATTATTATTATTATTATTATTATTATTATTATTATTATTATTATTATTATTATTTAATAGTGAGGTATGGTTTGTTTTGCTTGTCTGCCAAAGTGGCATAAAAATCTTCCAATTCTGCACATGTCAGAGGAGTTAAATCATTGATGTTCTCGTTGCAAGTGGGCCCTTTGTTTTAGTATTTTTGAGTCTGTTTCAGTACTGCTCAGCAATAAATTAATAGGCCTTAATTTAGTTTGCTCAGAAGTTTCTTTCCCAAGCTTGATGGTTGAATCATTAAATATCTAACCTAGCAAAAAGTTCTGGAAGCTTTTTTTCTTAACAGATCTATAGGTTTTTTGGAATGCTGCATTTGAATTTTATATTTGTCACCTTAAAAAGGGTAGAGAGAAAAATACAATACCTTCAAAATTTCGCACTTTATCAATTTTTTGCTTATGTTTCCAAAACAATGCATTTTATTTTATTTCAATTCATATAATAATAATAATAATAATAATAATAATAATATTTATTGAGTCACATATATACAATTACAATCGTGTATAACGAGTCAATATGATGCCTTGGGTGGAGAGAGCGAAGTTATATTACTGTTCAGGAGCAAACAAGGGGCCATCTCAGCATTTGCTCAAAGGATCAGGGAAACTGAACAAAACCTGATCAAGATGGGGTCATTGGCCTAGAAATACAATACTTGTTACAGTTAGATTAAGACATCTTTTAATAGGCAACCACCCAGTTTTTTATTTCATGTACAGTTGGTATGTGATAAATTTAGTAAATATATCAAATCAAATTGGATTGTTTTCATTAAATTGTGCAAGTATTAGGTTGAACATATTTCACAATTGTTTTTCAATTGTAAACAGATGTCTTGAGTGCTGCATTCAATACCAGATTAGATTACACAAATCTCATATCAAAAATTGTGTGCTTTAATCTCGTGTTGCACAATGGAATTTTCAATGGATTTCATGTCTACTTAGGTTGACTCTCTGGCTGCAACTCTTACGGTATCTCAGTAGGCAGTTGAAACAGTGTAAAAACCCCAGCAACTTTCTTGTGACAGTATCTACAAGTGTGATTGCCAACTACTATCGATTGCCTCTTGTCACCTCTCTATTCTGTCAAATTTTGCAGGGTGTTCTTTGGCATGTAGCCCTATGCACGCGCAGCTCCCTCCCAGCATCCATGTCCTAACAGCCAGAGTTGTGGTTGTTTTTATTATGTATATTACTTACATAAAATTGCTGTATTATAACATTATGCTTTTTGAGTAATTGTGTCTTTTTCTGTTGCAGGATCCGTTGGCAATGTACAATGAAATGTGGAGAACAGACCTGGTTAGTCATATGCAGTTCCGTCGTTCTGGACGTCTTCATCAGTGTTCTGTCTGTCAAAAGACCTTCAAACGTAGGAGTTACTTAGTTATGCACATGCGGGTCCACACCGGGGAACGTCCGAATGTATGCTCAATCTGCCAAAAAAGCTTCTCACAGAAAAGTGCTTTAGTTAGGCATATGCGAGTCCACACTGGGGAACGCCCTCATGAATGTTCCGTCTGCCAGAAGAACTTCTCAGAGAGGCGTTCTTTAGAGACACACATGCGTATCCACACCGGGGAACGTCCTCATGAATGCTCTGTCTGCCAGAAGAGCTTCTCAGAGAGGCGTATTTTAGAAATGCACATGCGAATTCACACTGGTGAACGCCCTTATGAATGCTCAGTTTGCCAAAAGCGTTTCACGCAGAGAAGTTCTGTAGTTACGCACATGCGTACTCACACTGGGGAGCGGCCTCATGAATGCTCCGTCTGCCAGAAGCGCTTCTCTGAGAGAGGTACTTTAGTAACGCACATGCGGATCCACAGTGGAGAATGTCCTTATGAATGCTCTGTCTGCGAGAAGAGCTTCCCGTATAAAAGTACTCTCATTAAGCATATGCAGACCCACAATGATGAACATCCTCCTGAATGAGCCAAAGGCGATTCTCACCGATCAGTGAAGAGAAGCATTTGCATATCCACGAATCTGAATGTCGTTATTGCTTTCCTCAAGCACATTTCTGCATAAAACGTCCCTAGCGAAGTTCGTACAAATCCACTGGAGTCAACAACCACTGTGAATCACCCAAATGGTTGAGAACAGAAATGGGACACTCCTCTGTGAAGGTCATGTTTTGAGCTTGTGATATTGGAAAATTGCTTTCAGGTAATTAATAATTGGAGGTCAACGTTTAAATATGTTGTCAGAACTTAATCTCTCAATGACAGTACATAATCAATTCCTCCTCTGAAGTTACTAGCTGAAGTCTTTTTGTTTCAGGTGAAGTCTCATGTCACATCTTCCAAAGAAGACCTGAATGCTGATAATCAGTTAAAAAAGGGTAATAAAGGATGTAAAGTGGCATAAGAGATCAGTGTGATGTAGGCTTTGAGGTACGGTGAAACTTCTTTATAACGTTCTTCCATGTAATGTTTTCCTCTAACGTCAATTTATTCCGGTCTCGACCAGAAGTCTGTAAACACAATGCTAAATTTTTCCTCTGAGCTTTGTTTCCTCTTCACATCGGTTTCCTTCCTGAAACGCTTGTGGTTTTTGGGAACCCTAATCATTTATTTTTGTCTTTATAACTTTTCAGCCAGATTTCGTTGCCGCAATTGCCCCCAACAGTGTTTTTACTTCCAAAGGAGATGGCATATTTCAGAACAGTGGTCGTATTCAGGTTTTCCAGAAACAGCTTTCTGAATTCTACAATAGTTTCTCTCTCTCTTGCTAAATATCTTCTTGAATTTTCAAAATTGTTTTAAAACAAGGGAAATTGTAATTTTAATAAGAACTTTTTCCAGAAGTGAAATGTTACTCGTACACACCCGCCTACCAAGGCATTATTCTGATATTTCCACCTTATAATAATACATTTTTTATAAAAACTTTAAAAAATTCTTTGCAAATGGATTAACAATCGAATTTTCAATACAGGCCTTATCTGAGCCAAATCTCTATGTACTTGCCTGATCTCTCTTGTCTTTTAAATTTATATATTTCCAAAAGTCCTTTTATTTCAACATTATAAACTCTTGTAGGTTAATATTGTTTCGTTTTTTCACGGACAACAGAGTTCAGTGCACTGATAATCGAAGTATAGTTACCTTTTTATAAAAATCCTAAAAAGGAAGAGAAATTTGTTTACTCTGAGGCTGATCTGATACAGAATTTTAGGTCACTAGTGTCCAACGGTTATAGAAATAATTTTATGATCAGAGCAACTCTCCTCATTGCAAATATTCCTTTCGAAAATTGACTTTATAAGGAGGTTGTGAATCATTGTCAAATCAATCGAGCTTCTTCCTCAACTAGACTTAATAGTAGGTATCCCAGTATCTTGGTTAAGTACATAGTGTATTTATGGTCAGAAATTCTTCAAATTTTTCCCCATGTGCATTGCACAATACGTCATGCCAGAGTTTGCTACGAGCATTAGTATCTGCCGAAATTAATAAACCATATCCTCATGTAAATTCAATATTTTTCCATTTTACATATGTCTTCTTCAATATTTTTTTGTGGATCTAAATACATGCTTGCGCCGAAGAATTTTAGGTCACTATATTGAATTTCAACAACTACACAATCCTCATCTGATATTTGTGTTATACAGGCAATATCTATAGCCTTTTTTTTTGATAAATAAATAGAGATATTGTCAGGTATCAATATTTGATAAATAAATAAATATTGATACCTGACAATATCTCTATTTATTTATCAAAATAAAAAAGGTATCTACTTCACCAACAATCCAATTAATATAGCCTTTTTATTAGCAAATAGTGTTGCCCTCTTCTTTCCATTCCCAATAGTGAATGTTCTAATTGTTGAAGGAATTAATACTAGTTATTTACAGTACAAGGCTCTTGAATAAAAGCTATGTCAACTTATTTGGCGTTAATGAGTTGAATTAAATTTACAGTAGCTCCTCTTGAGTGCTGCAAATTCACCTGGTAGCGATTTGTTTGTTTTATCCATATTAAGAATGTGTGTTTTTTATGTACTGTTTCTCAGCATTTTGATAATACTAGCGGTTTTTATCAAGAGCACTCTGATGAACATTAATGAAATGTCCTTATTATATTTTTGAAAATTTACACAGTTAATGCCTTTAAAATTCTGTTTATCTTCTTGGCATTCCTTGAGGGAATGATTTCCTGAATACTTGGAACACGTCAAGACCCCTTTACAGTCTTCTGAAAAAACCAACATTTAAATTAGACCCAATTACATAAACTCTGCCCTATCTTGAACTTTTTGTCAATAATGGCTTTTCTAGCTATTGGGCTAATCCCTAACATTATGTTTCTGTTTTTATCTCTAAACTCGAATTTGGCTTCTAATTGCTTTTCGTATTCTAACAATTCTTTGTTTTGTGAAACTAGCGTCCTAACAATGTTATTTGCTGAGACATCTTCGTCTGTCTTTTCGTTGGCACATATGCTTTGATTTCTTCATCACATTTTTCATTTACACCATGGCATAGTATTTCTGCCTCAGCTTTTGCACTGAATTCAATTAAAACATTTCCATTCCTTAAATTTTGTAGCAAGTTTACTCCCGCTTTCTTTGCCATAGGGTTAATTTTTGAATTAATTAATGTCTTGCGATATTTAGGGCTTTGGTTATTCTTACTTCAAATTATTATTTTGAACTTTTTATCATCTTCTTTCATTTGTATTATATGCTGGGCAGATCCAGTCACCTCCGCAAATGTCTTCTGAATCCAGTCAGTCAGTATCCTTCTACACTAGATGGCAATGCATTAACGGCTTCATCATTTGTCTTCAGATATTGCTCATGTATTTTCTGTATTTCACATAATTTCTCTTCATTACCCGATACTTTACCTTTTAACCTAACTATTGACCCCTGCAACAAATTCACAGACTGTATAATTTCATCTTTTAACTCATTTCTTAAGTTCTTGCTAATTACTGTTATGTTGAGACGCATGCCTAAGGCCTTCTCAATAGCCACACACAGATTTCATTTGCAGACATATTTGTTTACATTATTCAAAGAAAATCACAAAAAAATATATTTCTAAGTTCAATGCCTATCCCATACACTCCTAAGATTTACACAGTTGAACCAGTCATCCAGCTGTCCAATGACACTACACACGTATAGGAAAAGATTGTCTGTTTAAGGATTACACCTCACAAAACACAGAACGACTACAAACCATGCTCCATCGCTCCATCTGCACCATCGCTCAATCGCTTCCCTGTCTCTCTCCCCAACAATGGGGTGAGGTAACAGCATTAAATTGGACTGTGCGTGTGGTATGAAATATAACGCCATGGCCGTTATTGGGTTAAGGTGGTGTGTGCATGCCAGTCTCTACTCAACCACTCAACCATTTATTATATCTACAGATTAACAATAGCTGCTAGTGAACGTGGACGGAGCCTTTAAATAATTATTTGTAAATAGTTTAAAGAGAAGTAATGAATTGATTCTCTAGAAGGTTACGGCAGGGTCGCTGGATCCTATCTTCCCAGTCGCTGACCGCACGGCTGTACAGTAGCGCCCCCGAATTGTTGTCCAGTTGGCTGCGGCCATGGAACCCGCCACTACCAGGATCCGGCGAGTTTGTTTCCATGCTTGCTTTGTAGAAGGTATAGCAAGTTTTCCCAGAGACACGTAAATACTGTTCTTTAGTTGGAACTGTAGTCGCAATTTATTAATCTGATATTTCACACATAGATCAGTTATGGACCTTGTTCATATACCGTGAGCTGCGGATGGCTTTTTCCTCGAAATAGTCCCCGCTGGCCGCTGACGCGTGGCAGAAAAGGGCGAAGGATGAACGAATGGTCTTGCTCTGGGCCGGACCTGGCAGCATCAACGGAGCGTCCGCGTGGCAGATTTCCGCACCGGCAGCTTTTCGGGGCTCCGTTGATTTTCTACCCGTGCGGAACTCTCGCGTCACTTGTCCGGACCGTTGCGCCTCGCTATCTTCCGTCCTCCTTCGACGTCTAACTCTCGTCCCCAGTCTCTCTCCCCGCTGTCTTCCGAGTTGCTCACGTTGCTTCATATTACTTGTAATTGGTCCGTCTTCATCACGTGGTGGTTGAGTCCCCTTATTTTAACTTCTCACTGCATGCATCGGGGAATCCCCCGTTTCGATGCCGGCCACTTGCGCTGTGTGAATCCCCGAGATTTTACTACTTGGTTTGTTTTCTCTAGCGACCGGCGCGCGGCTAGCCCTCGGGGATCCCCTTTCCTTGCATGGAGTGGAAGGGTCTGGGGCAGAGTCGCCTGCCACAGAAGATAACGTACATAATCATGCTAAAGAGATAATATGTCAGAGTTAGGTGGAAAGTAAACTGGACTTATGAGTTCATTGTTGGAAAAAAGAGTTTGACATCAAGTCGCGTAAAACATTGATGTATGTTAGGAATAATTGAGCATTGGCTTGAGTCCTTGACAGCAGTCAGGACTCCTCTTGTAGATGGACTGCAGCGATGGTTACGATCTCTTCTAGAAATCCTATAGTTCGAATCGAATTCGCCATTCGCGTAGCCCTCGGTTAGTGCCTTTTCAACTTTCCCGCCACCAGTAGCACTGGCGAGGCGGGAGTTTGACATGTTGGGGGATACATGCGCCGCTGCTATTTGGTTTATGCGGCCAAGGAGGAGGCAGTGCTCACTAACTAATTTCTAACTTACCCTATGGATGAAGCCGGCGCTTTGGCCGGTAAGATCTACACTAACGTTTATTCGTACGTTAATGGCTTTATAATGCAGTTTCCTTGTTTTTTTGTATTATTCACTTGGTTACTTAAGTCTTGATTCACTTCCCTCGGCGACCTGCCTCTCAAGCTCTGCGCGACGGTTGACGATTTCGCCAGGGCTCCGCCCCAGCCGTTGTGATGATGATACAAAGATGGCGAAATACTCAAGATCGAGGCCCGGTGGTCCCTCACCGGTAATCCTCCTTGGCTTCGCAATTAATCAGTTCGGTTCCGTTCACTACTCTACGTTTACTTAAGCACGGGGTCACTTCCCTAACCACAACCGGCCACGCGATTCACTATTTTCATCGATCTATCTCAGTTTTAGCACTTAATCTCAATTCCACAAACCATTCAACTTCCTACGAGTCATTAATGCACTTGGTTTTACCCCCGAACCTCATTTATTCTATACTGCG